GGAATTCTGGGAGTTGAAGTCCACTCATCTTAAAGTTGCTAAGATTGAGAAACACTGCTCTTGAGCATAATTTCTGGCTCACATTTTAAGAGGAGGATTATGAAACAATGTGATCCACTGTAGCGTTCTACCACATGCAGAAATCATGGAAGCTGTAGCGATGGAGATTTTTGATGGCAAAAGAATACATTTTTTAATAACGTGCAAGAGAAAATAAATAAATTGGGAGAAGGATACTTTATACTTTTTTCTTCTAATATGGCTACATTTCTATATGCATTTCATTGTCTTTCTTTTTTTAATTGGAGGAGTTTTCAAACTTACTCTCTGCAAACGCAGTGCATTACCAGATGTTTCTGTCATTGTCCACTGGTCACAATATTGACTTAGCACCTATATTTTCTGTCCCGATTACAGAACTTGCATTTCTTCCATGCTGCTTTGATAGACACTTCCTGGTAGTTGTGGTAGATTATGGAGAGGCTGGGAAAGAATAGAAGAGAAAGCAACAGGCAAATCAGATGACAGGTTATCTCATAAATGGCAACGGGTGGTGAGAAATCTTGGAAAAAGCATTTTGAATCATTTAAAGAGACCCCACCTTCATTAACTCACTCTAAATGAGGCTGGGAAATTCCTCTGACAGCTTCCAAGATTCTATATTTACTCCAGAGGAGCATTAAAGAGAATTTTCTGAAATCTACGTAGTTCTTGCTTTCTTGGTCTTCCAGCTGAGTGGGGCTTGATGGTTGCAGCTCATTAGAATGTCCATCCCTGGCCTGCTATGAATAAAGCCCATATGCCATATAAAGTGCCCTGCTAATGATGGGTAGAAATATGTTCTGCTTCAACATGTCTTGCCTCCTGTCTATTTTTTGCTTTTGTTCTTTGCTTTCTCATGCAGTTGTATTTAGGAAGAATGAAGGGCTCTGCTGGACATGTAGGAGGCTTGGAGCAACACATGGTGTAGGAATGGGTCTTTCATGGGACAGTGCTCCTATTTGGGTGGGAAAGGCAGCCTGAAATCCAGTACCCTTGAAGGACTAAAACAATAAGCTTCTGAAGTGCATGCCAGGAAGAAAGTAAACATTCCACTGTCAAATCCTACTCAAAACATTATAGTGAGACTTAACAATAGGATCCTAGATAAACAAGTAATCCTTGTTCCATATCAGCAGAAAGACAATGAACTTTTAACTTCAAAGAAGAAACGGCAGGCAGGAGAGAAGATTATGTACACGTTGGTGTCTGTTCCTCATGGAAATGACATTGCGTCTCTTTTTGAACTGGATGCTACCACTCTTCAACGGGCTGACTGCCTGGTTCCAAGGTATTGTTTTATATATAAAATGTTGTGTGGGTGTGTTTCCAGCACTCTACCTGTCTATCTCTCTGTCTCATGTTCTTCCAAACAGAGATTCTGCCTGAAAATCAAGAAGCAAAGAAGTCAACTTGTGCTGGTCACAAGGCTTTGTGTTACTCCTGGATGCATCTTTAGTATTGTAGATTGGAGAGGTGCAACTGTTCTACAAGATGCATACACATCACAAACATGCACAACGGATACCTTTTCATTTACAAATCCAACCTGAAGGATTAAGGAGCCCTAAAACTGAGAAATAAGCCACTTAGGTTCCTAGAAATAACTCTCGGAATGTGAAACCTAGCTGAAAAGTGTAGATGTTTTAAGGTATTTCTGCTTGCACTTGGTATATTGGAAAGTCATCTCATCTCAGAACATGCAGTTTGGGTAACATTTTATGAATGAATTAAATTTCATTCTTTTATCATCCATATTTGACTAGACAAAACAACGTTGATTTTAATATAACTGAATTTTAATATAATTAAAATTAATTAATTCAGCACACAAGTACTTCACAATAGAGTTGATAGTTTTCTCCTTGGTGGATCTAGTTAGTGTTTGGGTGGGAGACCCCAAGGAAGTCCCAAAACTATAGACTGGAACGGAAAGACAAAAAGCCACCCCAGAAGAAGGCAATCAAGCCATTTTCTTCTTGTGACCAAGAAAAATGTATGGATATGTCCGTGGAGTCACCAGGAATTGGCCTCAACTGGAAGAAGACTTTTTTAGCCAGATCTGGGAAAGCTAAGCAGGATCACATCTTGAAAGTCCTTGGACTCTAATCACAGGAGACCCTAACACTGTAGGCTAGGATGGGAAGTAGAGCAATCACCTTGGAAGAAAGCAACAAAACCACTCTGTGTAGGTAAAAAAACCTGCCTGCACATTTCTATGCCATCACCAGGAGTTGAGCTTAACTTGAAGATGACTTTACCTTTTTAAAAATTATAATTCACTAACAATTTTTGGAGGAACAAAAGATGCTCTCATCTTGTGCATCCTTCTTTTATAGATGAGAGGATTTAATTCCGTTGTAACTCTGATTATGTATATTTGTATTCCTTGGTACAGATGCACACTTTTTTTGTGGGTATAATTTTAAATTTCTGTACTCTACTATTCCTCTCAGAAGACAATGTAATGAATTTCCAGCAATCTCTGTCAATTCCTTTGGAGTGGGTGGAAAACTGTATTATCTGCTCCAATGGTTTAACGTTTATTTCTTCTTTTCCTGGTTTTTATTTAGGAATTCATACGTTCGGCTGAGACATCTTTGCACCAACACTTGGGTGACCAGCACTAGTATCCCAATAGACAAAGATGAAGAAAGGCCTGTAATGTTAAAGGTAAAGAGGAAGTGTTGTTACATCGAACTTATCCACATAAATGACTTTTCCAATTCTCGTGATTGATTTATTGCTTCTTTCTCTCAATCCCATAGATTGGAACCTGTCAGACAAAAGAAGACAAAGAAGCATTTGCAATTGTGTCTGTTCCTCTGTCTGAGGTTAGAGACTTGGATTTTGCTAATGATGCCAACAAGGTTTTAGCATCAACAGTAAAAAATTTGGAGAATGGCTCTGTAACTCAAAATGAAAGGAGGTTAGTTGTCCTTCTTGCCTTTTTCATTTGGTGTTTCCTGACAGAATGTAAGTGTGTTGTAAGGCAATAATTGCAATTTTTGAAATAGATCTTAGCAGGCCTGTGTGACTGCTGTAGGTGGCAACCCCTGGCCAGCTTTAGTTTGGGTTCAGAAGCTAAGTGTGGGTTGGAGAGAATGAGCTGATTAGTATTTAGATGTTTCTAGTCTTCTGAGAATCCCAGCGTTGTAAACTAGATTGGGAAGTTGAAAACATCTGAGAAGAAGGAGATGGCAAATGACTTGAGAAGAAAACAAGGAGCAGCATTTGTCTCAAGAGAAATTACCGCTTGCTAGATTTGTATGGTTCAGAGGGCAGCTGCTTGAAGGAGTTCCAGACAGGGGCTATATTTAAGGACGTTGCCTGCCCCAGACACATATCTGCCTTGGAATGCACGATCCTAATAGTTATATAGTAGGAAAAAAGTCAGCTGGTATGATTCAAATTATGAATGACTAAAATACAACTGCTGCTATTTAATATGTAACAATCCTGTAAATGGAACCTAAATTCAAAGTGTGTTCGTTCAGATCTAACTCATGTCCATGCAGTGATAGATTTTCAGGGGTGTTGGAGGAGGTGAAAGAAGTCACGTTCTTGATTTTTTTTTTTTTTTACTTCCCTGGTGGTGTTCACTTGCAACACCTTATTTGCCCGCTTTTGATGCCATTCCACAGTGGAACGGCTGACGTACAAATTAAATAAATAAATGTAACTAATTTTTACAAGTGTCCTATGAAAGAGTCAGACTTCTTCCCAAGTTCATGTATTTTTCCCTTCCAAGAGAGACAGTTCAGTTTTCACTTTTGTGATTTTAGCCAAAGGTAGCTTTTAGGGCTGCCTGAACCAGAAATATGATGGTCTAAGTAATCATATGACCAATTCAAAGCGATTCCACTTGAATTTGTGGGGTTGAAGACAACATGGACATTTCTAATTATCCATAAACAGATGTGTCTAATCTCAAATGCCTTCTCTCGGCCACAAAAGACTTGATTTTTTTAGGAGCAGGAATGGCTGGAAATGGTTTTATGCTTTGAAAATAAACATGAAAAGGGCTTCAGATTTGAGTCCATATGTTTTTGTTAACTGTAATGATAATTTATGGTAAGGATTCTCATAATTTGAATGGGTTAATTCAAGGAAGGCTAAGCCTATATAGAAGTGAATATTATTTATTATTGTTCAGTGTCCTATCCTTGTTTCAAACTCACCTTAGGTTTGTAACTAAGCTTTTGGAAGATCTCATTTTCTTTGTTGCTGATGTGCACAACAATGGCCAAGAAGTTTTGGATGTGGTGGTTATTAAGCCCAATCGAGAGAGGCAGAAATTAATGAGGGAACAAAATATATTGGAACAGGTATGTTACTGATAAATGCATTCTCTAAAATGAATAGGAGAGATGCAGTATAATCCTTTCTTTGGTGGTGCTCACAATATTAAGGAATGACATTTTTAAAATTCACAACCTGTTGTGACAGGAGCTAGAAACTCTGAATGTTGTATCAGCATATCAAGGAGGCTCTGGACGGGAGAAAGCTGTTTGAGAAAATTAAACTAGCAACAGAAGAGATCTCTTTATGAATAAATTAGAATGGTTGAAGGCAAGATACAGATCATTATATTACACCGGCCCAGTTGACTTTTCATTTATAATTACACTCTGGCTGTTTCCTAGTTGGGTCAGTGTTTCTCACAAACATTATCCATTGCTAGTAAGTAGGGCTATTGGTAATGATAGGTTGGGTGAATAGTCCCAATAAAGAGTTACAAATATGGACAATATGCACCCAGAATATTCCTGGTATACTGTAATGTGGACATGCATACTCTAGCCTTTTTTAACCTTGGAAAACCCTTTTTAGCCTTTTTTTCAAAGATGCTTATTTATTTATTCATGAAATGCCCAGATTGCTTCAATCCTAAGAGACTTTAAGATATTGGGATTGAAACTCCTGGAGTACCCACGTAGCACGAATAATAGAAATGCTAGGCGACAAATCTGAGGTCTGTACTCCTAATTTCTCTGGAGGACACCAGATTGAGAAATTCCACTTTATCTTCTGGGATGAACTGTAAAGAAATTAGCAGACTAATTTATAGATTGAAAGATGATCCAATATTAGAATTTGCTTTATATTTGTTTGACAACATTTCAGTGTTTCCTTTTAATATGAAGTGATCTGTTGAAGGGGAAAATATTTCCCTGTTATTTACATTGTTCAATGTAGTGAATCGTATGTATTCAGTAGTGGTGAACATTTGCCTTCCAGTTTGGTTATGAATGCTTACCAGAAGATCCTGTATCTGTTTTCACCAGCTGCCATAATTTCGTGTGTATGTGTTTGTCTATCTATGTGTTTGGACACAGATTTTTGGAATATTGAAAACTCCATTTAAAGAGAAAGCTGGAGAAGGAGCCATGTTGAGACTTGAAGACTTGGGCGACCAGAGATACGCCCCATACAAATACATGCTTAGGCTTTGCTACAGAATCCTCCGTCATTCTCAACAGGACTACAGAAAAAACCAGGTTGGTCTTTTCCTTTTTCATGTGAGTATATGTAATGAAGTATCGCAGTCAGTCGTGAACTCCTTGTCATGCTTGAATTTGACAGAACCTGATGGGATGATGTTTTTGCTGGAATGAAATGCCGTGTTAGATGTTACGGAACCAAAATTTTATTTTTTGTGATGAAGATTGTTATTAACTCCATAATCTCCAACCAATTTTAAATATTTTGAGCACGGTAGTGAGGCAGTCTAGTGCTTAAAGCTAACTACTGTCTCTGTGACTTGATTAATTATAGTTAACAAGATGTACTTGGAACTGATCAACATGGAGCCAACACAGTTCCCAAAACATGCCACCTAAGATATGATTGAAGCCTTGATTAGTCTTTTCCTGATGAATTGGCTCATTATCTGTCTGTTCACTGCTCCCTCTCTCTTCTGTTGATGCATATAATTTTTAATTGCGGTGATTAATTTTTAATTACTTTTATTATTTTTCTGTTGGTTACTTGTCCTAAGCCTCTTGGGAGCCATATAGCCTCCCGAGAGCTATCTCTCAGATGTCATGCCTATCTCAGAAATCCCTCTTCTGTTTTGTTCTGATCTGCCTTATATGTTGGCCTACAAGTGGTATCAGCAATCCGTGGTATCTGCATTCTGCTGAATACCGGGAAAAGCTCAGAGCTATTACAAGAGTAATCACTTGGCAGTGGTAATGTTAAAGGATCTTCTGGTATCTGAATGAAGCTCTAAACATAGAAAACAGTGGGTCAGCCTAGGACAAACTTAATAAGGAGATTATTTCAAAACTAAAAGCAACTTCATCAAACATGCTGGATAGATGAGATGGAATTGTTATTCTATTCCTACACAACATAAAAGATCTCTCCTGACTCATATTTGTCTGATCATAATTAAAGGTTTTGACATTTATATTCTTTAGTAGTTTGGGCTCTACATAGTCAAAGATGAGATACTCTCTAGCTTTATACCACCCTGGCCATTAAGGTCAAGATAATTTTCTTATAACATATATGAAGATAATATATGATATATGAAGAGGTTGTTATAGAACATTGTTCTTGATGGTTATTTCACAGTTTTGTAGCAGTCTTTCCCTAAAGATTTGCCAATGTCTAAGTTGAATCCAATTGTAAAGGAAGAATAAATCATCTAATATTGTGGGCAGAATTAACCAGGCGTGGAAAAATGGTAATTAGTTTGGATATTTCATTTGAAATCATTTGTTTGTGTGTTTGTTTGTAACTGCTATTATTGCCTGCCCTTAAAAACAAGAATGGCAAATACTATAATTCACTAAATAAAATCAGGTGATAGGGAACATGCCTCTAGTACCCCCAATTTAAAAAGTTGCTCTCTTAATTGCTGGTCTATCGTGCATGTGTTGCTGATTCACCAAAGGGGGAACAATATGGAACCTTGGCTGGTGTGGGTCTTCCGGGCTGTGTGGCCGTGTTCTGGAAGTTTTGTTTCCTAATGTTTCGCCAGCATCTGTGACCGGCATCTTCAGAGTGCAGGAGCAGTTCTCTCTGTGCCCAGGATGATGTGACCCTTTTGTGGGTATTTATAGAGACAATATCTATATAGAGACAATAGAGACAAAAGGGTCACATCACCCTGGGCACAGAGAGAACTGCTCCTGCACTCTGAAGATGCCGGTCACAGATGCTGGCGAAACATTAGGAAAAAAAACTCCCAGAACACGGCCACACAGCCCAGAAGACCCACACCAGCCATCGTATTCTGGCCGTGAAAGCCTTCGACAATACAATATGGAACCTTCCTGTTTTCAAGCTCTTTAACAGATCGTTCTGGGATTATCTTCCAGGAATACATTGCTACCAATTTCTGCATCATGCAGTCTCAAATTGGCTATGATATCTTGGCAGAAGATACTATCACAGCTTTGTTGCACAACAACAGAAAGCTACTGGAAAAACATATCACAGCTAAAGAAATAGAGACATTTGTGAGTTTACTCAGGAGGAATCGAGAGCCAAGGTTTGAAGCATCTCACGTAATTCATGGCATTGATCGTCTTTTTATTTGTGAACATTTACTATAAAGTTGTTGTAGTATCAAGAGCAGCTCTTGGTTTTATAAAACTAACAGATCTATCTGTCTGTCTGTCTATCTCGATCAGTATGTCAGGGTTGGATGTAATTGATAGCAGTTGTGTTTCTGTAAATTTCTATAAATTTGCACATTTTGAAGCATCCGCTTTTCTTGCTAATTCTCCCCCCGTCAAGGTTCTTGGACTATCTATCAGACCTGTGTGTTTCTAACACAGCTGCAATTCCAGTCACTCAGGAACTTATTTGTAAATACATGCTGAGTCCAGGAAACGCAGACATTCTCATTCAGACCAAGTAAGCCTATTGAGATCTACTTGTAATGGTTTCCCTTTGCTTCTCTTAAGCCATTTATCAATGCAAACCATTGATAGTGATAGTGTCAACTGTTGTTTTAAGGCTGGTTTCAATGCAAATGGACAACCCCTTGAATTGCTCTTCCCTTTCTGATGATATGGAAGAAGAAGAGGTCTGGTTGTACTGGATTGACAGTAACAAGGAGCCTCATGGAAAGGCTATCAGACATCTTGCTCAGGAAGCGAAGGAGGGCACGAAAGCTGATTTGGAGGTCCTTACGTACTACAGGTAATTTTTCTTAAAAGGAGGAACAAGGCTCTATGCTATCCTTAGGCAATTCCTCTACCTTCTTTAGCTTTACCGACAATCCAAGGGATTCTGGATTAAATTAAAGCACCTTGATAGGCCAAAGTAAACAGTACACAAATTACGAAGCCTGTGTTCAAAAAAAAAATTACCTATTTGAAAAATATGAAGTGAACCAAGTTCACCTCCAGCACAGCTCCATTAGCACGTAGGGAAAATTAAGGGAAAAAGAGTGTCTGACCAAAGCAGGGAACAGCCAAGTCCGCATTTATAAGATGCACTTTGTTTAATGCGATCTTTTGAGCCCAGCACAAAATTGGCGGATTGCTGATTGCCTCTTAGTTTGTGAGTCTAACTATTCCATGTGATGAAAGACCATGGTAGAACCTTGTAAAAGGAAGTGGGATATGAATATAAAAATAAAAGTCTAATAATTCCATGGGTGGGATCAAACGAACATTATGGGAATGTCCATTGTTTTAGTAATTCTTTAAAGGGGTATGATGTTTGATCTGATCAGGATTTAGACAGGAGATCACAAGGAGTCACATTTTGGATGTTCTGATGGACAAGGATGAGAAATGAATAACATATTCCATCTTCAGGAACTGGAAACTTGGTTTCATCCGGGAGGGAAAACATCTGAGCTCTTTAATGTGTGATCTGCAGATATTTTGCATTCCTCATTTCAACTAAATTTGTTTCATTTGATTAAATAAAGGCTGCAGTTACATGCAGACTTGTACTCAACTCCCACAGTAACCCTGCTGAATACAGTGGGTTTTACTTCTCAGTAAGCTTTGGTAGGATTGCATTATAAATTCTTAAACAAAAGTATTTAAAAATATTCCTTGAATTTGTTATAGGGATTATTGTGTACAGATCACATATTGTGGGTATTATTTTATAACAAAATGATAGTTTTAACAATTGTACACAGCAAAGGAAGGAAATGATTGTTGAGAATGTGCAATATTCATGTGAAGTTTAGGCTGTGACTTTAGCAATGGTGTTTTGGGGAAACAAAGGCAGACTGCAAATAACAGTTTTGTTTTTATTATCTTAAGGTATCAATTGAACCTGTTTGCAAGGATGTGTTTGGACCGCCAGTATTTGGCTATAAATCAGATTTCCACCCAGCTTTCAGTGGATTTGATCTTACGTTGCATGTCAGATGAATGTCTGCCTTACGACTTACGAGCATCTTTCTGTCGCCTAATGCTACATATGCACGTAGACAGAGATCCTCAGGAGACAGTGGTTCCTGTGAAGTATGCCAGACTGTGGACTGAAATTCCTACCAAGATCACTATCTATGAGTAAGTTCCTCTCTGAAAACAGCAGACAGATCAATCGATTATAGTATGCGCTGAGCAAATCAAACATCTAACTTCTTCATATGATACATAAGGACATAAGAAGAGTGCTGCTGGATCAGGCCAAAATCTATTGTTCACCAGCATTTTTATTCTCATAGTGGCTAACCAGATGCATCTAGGATGCGCATAACCAGGAGATAGTAACAGATCCCTCCCCCACTGTTGATCCCCTGCAAGTGGTATTTAGAGGCCTGCTACCCCAACCTGGAGATGCCATTGAATCTCAAAATACTCATAGCCCTTGAAAGACCTGGCCACCATGAATTTATCCGATCCTCTTTTAAAGCTATCCAAGTTAGTGGCCATCACCACATTTTATATTAATGAATTCTACAAGTCAATTATGCCCTCTGTGAAGAATTCCTTTTTTTGTTTGTTCCTTCCAGTCAGCTTCGTGTTTGGAGAGAGGGATTAAAACATTCCGTCTACTTTGTCCATGCCTTGCATGAATTTATAAACCTCAATTGTATCCACACTCCAATTGCTATTTTTTTTCCAAGCTAAAAGTACCAAACATTCTAGACATTTCTTTCAAGGCAGAAGTTTTGAAATTTCTGTTTATTTGTTTGTCTTCTTCTGCACACAGTTGTAGTCTTACATGTCTTTCCAAGAGGGCTGGATGGATTCATGCAGAATACATTTCTCCACTATGTTTACGTATGTTCAGTAATGGACTGTCTGTGTTTAGAGACAGATTAGGCGCAAACTGGAGAAGGCGTTTGTGTTTGTGTTAGGCTTGTGAGTGTGGAGAGACATCTTTTGGATATGTTTGGAAATAAAATGACAGATGAGGGGAATCCTAGGCTTGGTCCACCAGTGTTCTTTTTATGTTCCCGTGATGTCATTTTATCTTTCGATTTTGGACAATTTGATCAGATCCTATTTTAGAGCTCTGAATGAGTTCCAGTACTTTTGTATGATGAAAATTCATAACTAGTGATAAGACTTTTTTTTCTTCAGAATCATTAAATGCAATTATTAGTTTTCTCGGAATCATTTAAATATGTTGGACTCAGGCTTAAGATTATACTAAAACAACACTATAATTTAATAGGTGCCATCTTGGACCATAGATTGTTGCTTGATTTTTAGGTTTTCCAGATATTAAGGATTTATTTTCCTTGTTTATATTTACTGTGGATGTTTTATTTCTCTTTTTCATGGATGCTTTGTATTTATCACAGATGCTTTGCCTTATATATATCTCATTGTTAACTGCCAGGTGTCCGAGTAGTCCGACAATATAAAAGTTGAATAAATGCAAGTTTAAATAAATAAATGTTCTTTGTTTAATTGGCTTCTGTGGTAAAAAGTTGCTAAAATGTGTCTATCAGGCAAAATTACACATAGCATACATATAAAGCATGTATAAATTATTGTGCAAACCTTTGAAAACATAAGTTTGAAAAATGAGAAACTTAAAAAAAAATGACCTTCCTGATGTTCAAGGCATTTATCCTGATTCAGTCACAGCCTTTGTCATGCACATTTCAGTTTTGAGCAGACAGAAGCTTTTTCTGATATCTTAGGTACGCTTTACATATTTAATAGGCTTCTGATTTTAGGACTGTTAGGTTTATTCCATGCAAAAGGACGTATATTCCTGCTTCATCTTTTATTTTATATCATTCCTCTTTTTAGCATAAATAAGTACATTAATTCAGAGCAATATGGTGAAACTACAATATGTTAAACCCAAAAATAACAATGATTTATGGTGTGGTCTAAACTGTATCTTCTGATGCAATCATGCTCTGGCTTTCGATGAGATTTCTGACAAATCCATGGCACACTTGAGCAATTTTTCTTGCATCTAACATCTGCCCTCGCTTTGCACTGAAAATAATTTGTCAAATGTGTTCTACTTCCCACCATAACATGCTCTTTCTTTGTAGGTATGACTCCTTCACAGATTCATCACGAAATGACATGAAGAGGAAATTTGCTTTCACAATGGAATTTGTAGAAGATTACTTGAAAGAAGTTGTAAATCAGCCTTTTCCTTTTGGAGACAAAGAGAAGAACAAGCTTACATTTGAGGTTACATTTTTGTTACAGTAATCTGGGGGCAGGAGCAATTCATAGCCTGTAGGTCTCCATGTAACACTGCAGTACTCCCTAGATTGCACTGCTGGAATTCAGCATAAAAATGGATGATTTAGGACCATCGTAGAAAAAAAAAATTGGGGGGCAAAATTTGAGAAAAATGGAAGGAGGACAAGCTGGGGGAGGACAAGCCACTTTCATGTCTATGCTTAAAACCTTCAATATCTGGCCATCCCAACCAAAAATTATAAAACACAGATTTGGCTCTTTTAATGCTGAAAATGGACAACACGACTGTGAGGAATGTTTGATATTTAGGGTGGGAACTCAAAAGTCCAAAATCAAGCCAAAAAGGTTCTACCTCACCCTTCCTGTAATATAATTGCAGTCTCCTGCAGCCCTCTAGAAAGTTGGGAGGCTGGGCAGGAGATGTAGTTGAGGTTCTGACTTGATGAGGTTGAGTAGCTGTTGGGTCACCTGTGGTTCTGGATGGCATCCTTGTGCAATAAAGTCCAGAGTTTGGGGGTCTTCTTGATGGAAGATAGAAACCATGGCCAAGAAGGCCTTTGCAACCTTAAATTTTTGTGCCAGTTGCGGCCATTTCAGGACCAGAAGGCTTTGCTGATGATCATTCAATGCCTTTGTTATATTGAATTCAGACTGTTGCAATTTGCATTACACGAGGCTGCCCAGATTGTTTGGAAGCTGCAGCTGGTCCACAACATAGCAGCCTGAGGGCTTGGTATAGTTTGCCCATGTTACACCTCTACTACAGGAGCTGTGCTGGTTGCCACCCACAGTTCTTGATCGGAAATGAATCCTGCTATGACATTCCTAGAAGACCAGCCTGTAGGGATGGAGTGTAGTAGAGAAGACTTCCAACCTCCACTGATCTCTGGGTACTGGGATCCTAAGAATTCACATAGTATGGTATTCCTTAAAGAACTGCTTTCATTTGTTTTCCTCAGTACATAATTACAATATGTGGTGAAAGGGAGGAAGTAATCTTGGAGAAGCTGAGACAGATATAGAAGACTGATGGCTTGTATGCAGCAATGGTAACATCATTGCAGAACAGGACATAGGGGCCCAGTTTCTGCTGTGTAAAATCCATAGTTTGAATTAATTTTTCAATCCAGGTGGCCCGTAAGCACATTACTCTGGATTAATTCTTGAGCATAACCATGTCAGTCCATTCATCACAATCTTAGTGTGGGATCTCTTTCTTGCTTTTGATATTTCTTTGTTTTCATTTTTTTAGGTGGTGCACCTGGCTCGCAATCTCATATACTTTGGTTTTTATAGTTTCAGTGAACTACTCAGGCTGACCAGAACCCTATTGGCTATCCTCGATATTGTACAAGTGCCTATGTCATCCTACTTTGAAAGATTAAGCAAATTTCAGGATGGAGGTAAGGGGAAAAAATAGCACCTACAGAAAATACTTATCATGTATTATTTTCTCTCTCTCTCTTTTACAATCCGTTTTCATACTTTCAGATCTGGAAAAATACCACATAATGATAATGGGTGAAATCTCATGTCCAGTTACAAGCATGTAAGGTCCATCATGATAGGTATCTCAGAAGTGGAATTATTAGTAATATCTTCTTCATTTCATTTATTTAGGGGAGCTGTAAGAATTATACCTAAAAGTTGTCCACTTATCGTTGAACTACATCTTTTTCATACTGCATGATTGACACTAAAGCTCAACAGACATGCTCTAACAAATGTTGGGTTTTGTTTTTCATACTATTAAGGCTCCTAGTTTTAGTGATTTCTGTTCACCTCCATACTAGGGCTCAACAACGCTGGTAACAGGTCATATCCTGAATTAGAGATCTGTGGAATTTGTCTCCTAGAAAACATCCAGATGATTAAATTCTCCTGTTCTGATTAATTTTTGCTTCCCCAAAACATCTGTAATTTATTTTGGGAAGGCATGATCTATTTTCTGTTTTTGGTTCAATGATCTGCAGCCAATTCTGAATGTAATGTTTTTATTTCTTTCTCTTTTTCTTTTGCTACAAAGGTTACAATGCTCATGCTTTGATTTCTCTGGTGTTGGGGACATTTTTGACAAAGTATGTTCTTTCCCATCTTAAAAAATGTTTCATTTCTTTTTTTAATATAATTTTTATTGAAGAAATTTTTAACAAGATAAAAACAATACAAATATTAGAAAAGAAACAAA